TCAATTTCGTTTAAATTCAATCTATCTTCTATTACATCTTAAGGCATATCTGGCATACCTCGAATTTTAAGATAATGAATTCATATATTCTTATTGTTAGAATAAGTAGATRATTATAATCATATTCTGATTATTGTAATTATATTAATATTAGAATGATTATATTATAAAATTATTCTAGAGAATGATTGTAGATATTGTATATAGTGACCACTGTTGTAGATGGTACGGCTGAGACTGAATGAACCGGACCACTAGTTGTTACTAAACCACCCGAGGAGGGTATGCCAAACATGGGAGAGAAAATTTGCCCTGTGCGTTGCGGCATCGATGATGGACCCGCAACTTCAGGGGGAACTACAGCAAACTATGGCGGCCTCACCATAGTGCGAGGGCCCCAAAGTTCAGCCAGAATTTGTTTCTGGTCTGCTACCAAATCAGCCAACAATTTCTGCTGAACGCTTTGCGTTTCCGCCATTGAAAGTAACGCACCTCGCAGCACATGGACAGCAGGGTTTAATGTTGACTCATCGAGTCTTTCTAATCTGCCTAGCTTCTGCGCTCTACTCTCTAGTCTAGCCTTTCTTTGCATAGCTTTTCTTCTTCTCTCTACTACATCGTCCATCTGCCGCTGTAACTCATCCTGAAGTTCTTCTGCCTGCCGGATTTCTAAGTCCTCCGGCGTGAGTGGAGACTGGCTGACTCGCACATGACCAATCTGACTAATGGAAACCTAAGAACCACTCTGACTGACTCCTGAAGAAGTGGGTTGTGTAGAGGGTTGCGTCATAGGTGAGGTAGCCATGGCCGCACTGATACTAGCTGAAACTCTAGCCCTAGCACTGTCCTCAGCTGCCCTCACTCTCCTTGTCGCTGCCCTCTCTCTAGCCTCTATCCTCAATCTTCTCTCGTCTCCTGGACCTAACTCCAAGAATGTCAAGGGTCGACCGCGGGCAGTCCCGCAAGTAGTCCTACGGTCGTCCACTAGTAACTTCTCCTCACTTGTGCTTGCATCACTCATGAGCTACAGTGTGTGTGATCTAAACTAGAATCCACACTGAATCCTACCTTAGCTTGACACACATCCGCATATGATACACAACTACTTACGGCCGGCTGGAACATAAATAGTTAGGTGATGTAGTTGCAATTAATGTCAGGTCCTACAGGATATCTTAATTCTATTTTTGAATTACCCTAGAACAGATTGCACTACATCAAAGATCTAATCTATCTGTAGTCGTCTGTCAGTTGTTAGCGAAGTCTGTCACAACTAGATAATCAAAAATAAAAATAACATTTTCTGCTGGAGATGTATACTGAATGGCAGATTGTATGTTGATTGCCACTGCGAACAGTTACCGGAATCCCCCCCTCCCCCTTTATCCTTCTTGAGTAGTCACTTTGTGTCAACGTCCCTGAGCATCTGGTTGAGCAGTGTGTCTAAACGTGTGCAGTCCGGTTCCACCCCTGTTCCTCAAGTCATCGTCGAGCAAGGCAGCCACAACACTCTTATTTATCCTCGTACGCCGACGAACCTTACACCCGGTTGATCTGACTGATCAGGAGGATTATTAAGAGCGCCCCCATCTCTTCAGGAATTATTTAACGTCGCAGTCAGGACGACAATCACAGCCAGATTCAATCCGAGTCCCCAACCAGAAATGTTTATAGACGGTCTGGTGAGCATCTCATAGAGGTTTTCATGCCCGAGTTGACCCCTATTTGCGCAAGCAACAGATCCAAGGACTTGCGCCCAAGCATGCGTGTACTAGTCCCAGAGGGTTGGTATGGGGACCGTGACCCGAGTGCTTCGTCCAGGGCTCTTCAGAGGCTTCGCCCGCCTCCCACCAGCTTGCTGCCCAGGAAGAATGTCGACTCTCAAGGTTGAGCGCTCGCGACACCTCACATCGAGAGGACTCTCAAGACAGAACTCACTTCCTCACGGTAAGAAGAGATGAAGAGGGTAGATAAGGAAGAGAGCAACGTACCTCTTAAATGCTGCCCCCAACCACAGATTTCTCACCGGTAACCTGATGTGCAATTATGATGACCGGTCTTTGCTTCGGCACAACCAACAGCAGAATGCGGTTCCACCTCAACTTAATATGTCACATCAGCGAGTTTTCATCATCCAGCATACATCCCGTATGTCACCTCATAGCTCCCCGGCGCGCCCACACAACCCTCAGCCACCTAATGTTCAACGCCAATGCCGTATCACTGCCCCACACCTCATGCGAAGCACCAATAGCTATTGCGAAGAACCAATGAAACGCAATATGAACCGGCTCCAATACCAAATCGCAAGGAAAATAAGCAACAGCAAGATGACAATCCCAGATCACACCATCACATTGCAATTTAAATAGTCACACCGTGTCCAGATAGCAGCATTGCACCAATAATACACCAATGGAGTTTCGTAGCACTGAAAACCAATGTCCGTGGAGAGCACACTCTCTCCTCTCAACACAAGAGTCCAGTTCCCTTACACTCACACTTGGCGCTCAGCGCCCAGCCTACTCCTACACAGCTACTACAGACTACGAAGAGACAATGCAACTGTTGACATCAGCAGCAGCCCGAAGTACTTGAAGATGCTGCCCATGCAGACCATCGCCAATACAAGGTACGTGCCCTCACATCATCATCATCATCATCATCATCATCATCCTTCACCTATCCCCTGACTTCACCCACACCTGTCCTCTCTGTCACCCGAAGACCACCCCTGCGCTTCACTTTAGTCCAAGCCCACCAGCTATGGTGGCTGGGCTATGGCGCTGCCCTCAGCAGCGCCCTCCTCCTCTGCACGACAGCACGTGCTGCACCTTGCCTCTCAGCGCTAGCAGCAGCCTACGAGCATAAGCTCCAGCAGCGCTGCCGCCCAGCATGCGAGTGCCTGAATGAGGCAGCCAGGGCCGGGCTCTTTCCTTTATGGAAAGAGTTGGGCTGCTCACGCAGCCTGGCTGCCTTGGCCTGGGCCCAGAAGCTTCCGGAAGGCCCCAGGAGGCTGCCTGGATGCAGCAGCTACTGGGCTGCTGGGCCTCGTTCGGTTGGGCGCCCAACTGTCTCTGTATGAGGTTCGGTTGGGCGCCCAACTGTCTCTGTATGAGGCTGCGAATCACGGCCAGGGCCTGCATTCTTTGGAAAGGCCCCGTAGCCGTGGAAATGTCTCTGTTGCTCGGCCTGTGTTTCTTTCAACCAACTGGCGCGTCGCAACTGCCTGAACCCCAAATATGAAATTGACAGTCGAAGGCCCTTTTGCAAAAGCCAGGCCCGGCTTCACTTAGGGCGGGCACCTCCGCCTTCACTTAGGGCGGGTAAGGCTGCAGACAGGGCCCCATAGGCCTACCGAGGACCCTGATCCTCGCAAGAGCTTTATTTCAGTGACTAAATAATACACATTTTGGGAGTGTTGTGGCGATGCCCGGGTGCCAAGTCTCACTAGCAGCGTTGAGTTTCCTTAACACCCGAATCTGGACCTGTTTGCGGAGAGCTACAGTTGAGAAAACTCAACTCAACTTTCTGCACAGCTCCACAAACACGTCCAGATTCGGTCGTTAAGGAAACTCGACGCTGCTAGTGGGACTTGGACCCCTGAATCGGATTCCAAGTAGCTCGCTGAGCGCGTAAACGCACCCTCATTTTGGCTGTACCTAACACGAAAGACAGATTGCATTCATTCACTATCAGACGGCATCATGTTCCAGACGAAACGAGGGCTTTTTAGACACCCATCCGGCCCTAATTGCCGGAAGATACATCCAACACATGGTTTCGGGATCCGATTATTAATTTATTATTATTATTATTATTATTATTATTATTTTTGGACCACTTCTCGATTTATGCGTGCCATCTTGAAAGCGCAGGGTCCACCTCTAATCTTCATTCTCTGTATCGTTCCAATTTTCACGGATGTCCCGAAGGACGGCATCCGATTTTCAAGAGATCTGCTCACAAGCTTGCATATCACGAGCGTCGAGTAGTTTTCGATTTGTGTTTTTTTTTTCTTTTTTGAAAGGGCGACGGCCTTGAGATATCATCATTAAGCTGACCAGCCCCAGAAGTACTTGGTTTTACAACTTTTACTCGTCAGGTTCCATCATCTGGATTCGAACACGGGTCTGTACTTTCAACAGTTCATGGGTGTACCCACCGAGCTAGGCTCTTGGGTTAGTAGTTTCTCATTTCTGGCTTCTTGCAACGAGAGCCCAGTGATAAATATAACCCTTTCCTCCTCATCGTCAGCATACCGCGTTCCTGCGCGCTGTTGATGGGCATCGAGAGAGAGACCCGAGGGATCCAGCGAGTGAGAGCTCACGGGGAACGTGAGCTAGACATACAGACAGGTCACAGTCACAGGCGGTGGGAGGAAGGTAGATAATCTAAGGCCACGGCGAGAAACAAGAAGAGGATAACAAACGGGCGGGCGAGCGAGCGAGCGAGCGAGCGAGCGAGAGAGAGAGACACACACACACAGAGAGAGAGAGAGAGAGAGAGAGAGAGAGAGAGAGAGAGAGAGAGAGAGAGAGAGAGAGAGAGAGAGAGAG